TGATGCGATATAGGTCCACGAAGCAGCCTCTGTTGTTGCAAGAATGGGCAGGATCATCCAGGGTATTAAACAGTCAGGTAGGGTTAGACTTTCGTGTTTCTTCGCGGCGAGTGAGACTACCAGGACCCATTTATATAAAGTGTCAACGCATCTGCATGCCCTCGAGTGTTCTAGATGACTATGGGCGGCGGTATTCACTTGACACAGGCGAACCGCCTTCTCGTTTGACAACTTTCACATAGAAAAAAGAAAGCTGGTACATTTAACACATCATCGGACGTCCACCGGGATCTCACAAACGCGAGCAATTAATAGAGATAATTAAACCATTGCTTAATAATTAATTACACCATAAGAAAGGTTCTTGAGTGGCATCCTCGTATTGACCAAATGTTCCTAAATAGGACGACCCCCCACTAGATGGAGTGACTTGTGCAAATATGCAGAAATTGGCTAAGGGCCGTGCTTCGTGGCAGTAATAATAATAATATTAAAATATCTTTATTTACATAGACGCTTGCGCGTTCTTATGAAACGTCAAAATTTTACAAAGAAATTATCTGTGGTGGAGGCCTATGTTCACCAATGGAAAACAGGCTGAACGATGATGAAACCATAGCAAGTTACTGGTTACCATGCTTTTCCGGCATACTACCTAAACGCGTTCAAAGTTATGTATTATACATTAAACTTTGTAAATATTTACTTTTCACTAATAAACTATGAAACAAGCGAAAGAATTAAACGTGTGCGTTCTGAATATTCCTAGTTGTAATCGTGTCTAAGCTCGTAAGTTTGCCTCCAATTCAGAGCGTATTGCGTAAGCACGCGGCAAGCGAATGCAGTCCGCTCTAAAAACGTCTAACAGCAAAATTTAAATAGCAATAACGTGTGCCAACTCATAAAAGCCTTTAGCGTTGCAATTTTTTATCCATTTAGCATCGGCTTGTAGACATTGTATCGACAATCGTAATGTTAGAATAAGACTATGTTAGAATAAAGCAACAATATGTACCAGTAGTTTCATCTAAGTTAACTGATCTCCGTAATTTTCCAACTGATATGTTCATTAATTTCTTCTCTTATACACTTTTTGCACGGTTCGGCCAGTGGTATTGTAAAGTAGAGTAACAGCCTATATATGTCCCACTGCTGGGCAAAGGCTGTACAGAGGGTATTAGGGCCATCACCACCACGCGGCATCAATGCGGACTTTACAAAAAACTTCGAAACATAATTTGTTGTTATTTCGAAAATATGCATATGTTTTTCTTCACCGCTGAGCACGTGACAGTTCAGCACTTAAAATTAATAATTTCATCGGTGCCGGCACCGGGGATCGAACTCAGGTTACTCGGGTATATTGAATTAAAGCGAGCGCCCGGACAGTGAGCTATCACGGCTACAACTATACTACAAGCTGATGGTAAATGTTAAAATTTGCCAGTTATAAAAAATAGTTCAGTAAAGGTTTATTACCGTTTGTAATTTATCAAGTTTTTATATTTATATCATGCCATATATATCTATGGGTTTTAAACCTTATTCAGTTGATTTGTATATGTTACATGTAAGAGAATTCAATAATAAAGCAATTAATAACTTTTGCGGTTGCTTGGATAAAGCTTTTTAATCCAAAAACTTGTTAGCCTTTTGTATTTTCCAAAACCAATTGTCAACACCAAGGATAACTTTAAAGAACGTTAAAAAGAAACATTCACGAAATAAATGGAGCCAAAACACAATCGTGCCTGAGTCATTTTTCGCTATGTTGGAACAAGCAAACGTACGTATATCGTTATTTTAAACATAATTAATTCCGTGTTCATTATTAAAGTTCAAAGAGTCACACTTTCAGGAACGCACTACACAATGATTCATTCGCGGCCTGACCCACTTGCGTTGCGAATAAACAATTTTGTTTTACATTAAAACAACATTAATGGCGAGCCCTCATTGGTTGTTATTGTATTACGCTACTCGACAGCAGCTGAATGTAGCGGTGTTTTATATTCATGTTATTTGTTTAAACTGTTATTTCTGTTGGAGGAAATGTTAACGGAAATGTAATGATATGGCTTTATAGCTCTAAATTGTTACTAAATAATCAACGCAGGTCTTGAACTTGGCTGATTATTAACATATATTTTCAGGTTAATCTGAAATAGCTGAACCGAATCCAATAAACTGTTTCAGGGTCAATAAATAGGACAATCGAATTATAGGGATAAAAATGTATTACCGCTTATATTTTACTAGCGACTCGCCCCGGCTTCGCACAGTGCAATGTATTATCTTCTTGAATCACTCTATCTTGTAAAAAAAAACGCATCAAGATCTGTTGCGTAGTTTTTAAGATCTAAGCATACATAGGGACAGACAGACAGCGGGACGACGTTGTTTTATACTATGTAGTGATAAATACTCGATGGTATTTACACTGTCACGTAAGTTGTAAATTCGAAGAGTAAAATTGTTGTCTGTATTTCAATGCACATCTCATTGTCGATCAAAGACAGCAGTGCCCTAATACCTCTGTATTAGGACAATTGGAACGACTTCAGACTTCATCTATCTACATGTTCTATTTATGTTATGTCTTAAACATTAATCGTTCCTCATCAAGTTATCCTTCAGCACCGAACAGTGACAAATGTGCACTGAAAGTTAAAGCAATTAACGAATTAAATAAGGCAGTTATTTTGCCACGCTTTTCTCTCGATAAACACGCAATCGATTAAAATAGGCGTAGTATGCGAAATTATCAAAATTATATTTTTAGCCGCGGCAATACAACACCGTGTTGTTTATACGCTTATGATGGGGTGTCTCCGTTTCTAGTGATTTATGTTTATTAACATTAACTGTTATTAACACACCAAATACTCCTTTCAAGTAAACGTGCCCAATCCTAAAAAAATCCGGCCAAGTTGCGATAAAGGGTGAATGCCCCGAGCATGAAGGGATCTGTACCATTATGTATAAAAAAAGCAAAACAATAATATCTGTCGCATAGGCTCCCATAAGAGTCGTGATAGCTCAGTGTCAGGGCGCTCGCCTTTAATTCAATATACTGAAGCAACTTGAGTTCGATCCCCAGTGCCGGCACCAATGAAATTGTTAATTTTAAGTGTCGAATTCTCACATGCCCAGCGGTGAAGGAAAACATAGTGAAAAAACGTGCATATTTTAGAAATAATAACAAAAAAAATAGTTCGATGACATGTGAAATCCGCCAATCCGCAGTGGAGCCACGTGGTGGATTATGCCCTGATACCCTCTGTACAGAGGAGGCCTTGCCCAGCAGTGGGACATGTATAGACTGATACTTTATACTTTATACTTTAGGCTCCCATAAAATATTCCACTTAAATATTTTTATTCTGTTTTTTAGTATGCGTTATATTGTAATATGTCATCTGTGAAAGTTTCAACTGTCTAACTACCACGGTTAACGAGATACAGCCTGGTGACAGACGCAAAGACAGATTTTTTTTTGTTTTTGCCCCATTATATTTGATCCTTAAGGACTATGAAATATTTCTTCGGTCATAGAGCCATACTAAAAAGGATGTTGTTTTTCTATGGGCTGTTAAGCCCCTACGAGTGGATTGCTTTCTAATTATCCTCTTATAAACAAAAACAATTACACATTATTACGATAATTTCGTTATAATTTCGATATTTGTTATTCTGAACTCGTCATATCTTTCCACGTCCTAAAATGTCGCGCGCAAATAACTTTTCCACTCCAATTATAACGGCAAACGCATGCTCCGTTCATATGCAGTTTAAAATTTTAAAGTCAAATTTAATAACACATTAATACTCCAATTCCCGCTGAATATTTCGTCAAAATCCGGTCCCGAAAGTGTAGCAAAATGTCAAGCTACTTGGACACACGTCCGGTGTCACGCAGCCCTGGAACTAGGGTGACTGCAAACAGCTGATATTTGGGGATGTTAAGTTAATCCATTCGCCTATGGTCCAGATTTCAGATTAGAAATGGCCAATCGATCTTAACCAATTTGGATTAATTTCTATGAAAAATTTCGACGTTTCATAAGCATGAGCAAGCGTCTATGTGAATAAAAATATTTTGAATCTTCGTCAAAATCGAGTCCCGAAAGTGTAGCGATGTATCTCTTAGAAATATACAATTGTATGACGTGATATTAGAATTCTGAATGATTATACCACAGATTAAGTATGCAATATCGGTCGATTACTTTTGATTCACCTGTTTACATTCAGCTAAGTGGTTTCCAACAATTACGTTATTTAAATTCTGGCCAACGTATCCACAATGGATGTTTATAATGTATTCAATGGACTAGATACATTGCTTTGGTTTTTCTTAGGAGTATTTTTTTTAATTCAATGAGATTTTTATGCTAATAGTTAATGATGAATTTTAGACGATACTCGTGGTTCAAACTCGAGTAACGTGTCGAATTACAAGTCTTTACGTATATGTTTTCAAGCTATCATCGAAGCATGTATAAGGAGTTGTGTTTGTTTTTAAGTTATAGCACCTGCCTAAACATCGCAGAACACCATCGGTTGACTAGTAGAGTTTTAGTTGTAGTTTTTGTGTTCCATTAAGAATTAATAATTTCCTAAAACTCAAATGAAAATTGTCCAAACAATTTGGTGATAAAACCTTTTGAGTTTGTATTAATTATATGTAACGGTTAACTAGTAGTGCCTTCAAGAATTAAGCAACGGAATTTGCTGTTGAACAGATAATCACGTCTGAGGGTACCACTGCCATAGAGAAGACCCTCGTGGAATGAAAGCTACATTTGCGCATCCTCTATTTAGTGAGGTGACCACGGTCCTTCGGAAACCGAACTGTTGTTGCAAATCAACTGCTCTCTTTGTGACTCCAAAATAAAGGGAACAGTCCAAATTTCAGCGGGGCTATGGCCACAGCAGCCGCCTCGCCGCCGACTATCGCGTGCCGCCGGAAGGGGCCCGGTGTGAACACAAATTAATTAGCGCCCTATCACACGATCGCCGGAACCTCGCCGGTTCGCTTCTATCGCAATCGTTTGCCACTGGAACTTTCCGTTTGCGATGAGGTGCGATTTTTGCGGAGATTTAGTGGGCGCTTTGTCGCATAGGGGAGGACTGGCATCGCTGATTATCGCCGCGTTTCTGTTACCTATGTTTTTGGCTAGCTCTCTGTTTATTGCGCGGCGCCGCAGCGGGCCGGTTTCGAAATAGCCGGACAATTTCCTGTTGTTTATATGCGCGCACATTATAAAATTATCATCGCGATCGGACGTAGATGCGGAAGCTGTTAATATTTTATGGGCCCGGTTGATATGGAATATGTAATCAGCTGGTATTATCAAAAGCGACGGACAAAGACGGTAATTTCATCGAATTATTTGCGTTAGGTTCAAAAATGTACGTTTTCGATTGAGCCGATAAGTAAATTAGTTTAACGTGTTGTTACTGTTATGTTGCTTTGTTAATTTTCCAACAAATAATGTTCATGACGCCTCTTTACCACAATGCCTGAGTAACCGGCCCCCGTGTCTCAGGTCAGGAGGTTTTATATTCGGTGGTCATGGGTTCGGTTCCCATACGGGACAAGTATTTGTGTGACCTAACTAATTGAACCCATGTAACTGGTCCAGATCTAGGTGTTTGTTTCCCAAGAAGTGACGTCATTCAGGCAGCCAAAATTGCCTACAACATGACACACACATTGTGTCGAACCTACCTAAGTAGGAATAAGGCAGGAGGAGGATGATGATGAATGAAAACAAGTTAACAAAACCGCTAGAATACATACAGTTACATATATAATTTTCGTGTTAATTATTCAACCTTATTTAGACCGATGATACCTTTAATTACGCATGCTATCTATTATGAAAAAAGTTTTTTTTTTTATAAACATGTTCCTCATTTATGACTAACCTCACTTATAGATGGAACCCTGAGGTCAATATATGAACTCCGCTAATTTTACCACTTAAATATCAACCTTGTAACGTTTCTTTTGAAAGCTTTTAAGCAAATATCGCAGTCACTTATAAGTTTGTAAGAACACAAACAAAAAGCTTTTTCTTAATCCTCCATAAAAGGACCTGTTATAAATCAACAGAGCCGCAATCTCTTGTTCATTTTCAAGTCTAGCTAGTCTTATCCCGCGGTAACACCCGCGCATTTTTAATACAGAATAGTTAAATAAAAATGTCATAAAAATGTTGTTATTTCAATATATTTTTTTATTATATGACTAGGTAGCAAGCGAGCTGGTGGTTAGCCTGATATTAAGTTATAACCGGCGCCCATGGACATTTGCAACACCCGTAAGGTTGCAGATGCGTTGCCACACTTTAATAAAATCTAAAGGCCTCGGCTACTTCAATCAACAGTCGAATCGTAGATGTGTAACACTAACGTCACGCTGGTAACACCATACGAGTATATACCATCATAGGGAGTTGAACATTTTTAAATATTCTATCAAATCTTGCCAGCCAGCGACATAAAGACTCGACTTGCAGTCAAGTATTTGTAACATTATTATCCATGCGATTTTAAAAAGAGTTCGTGAAATGTATTTTCGGGGCGTGACAAGTTAATTTAAGTAAATGTTGTTAAGTACGGTACCGTCGTATGTATTTTTAATATTTTCCGGTGGCGATAATTATTAAGTGCACAACACATAATTATTATAGTGGTTACAGTTAGTGTAATGTAACCACACACTTCCTTTCTTCTTTGTCTTTTGAATTCTCGAATGCGAGTAAAATTTATTACAATAATGCAAACAGCATAACTTATGTAATTATACAAGTGGTAAAGTTTTATGTTACTACAATTGCTTTGCAAAAACTGTTTGAGCTGTGACAAAAAGTCTCTTAGAAAAGTTGATAGTAAATAGTAGGACTGATACGATTACTTGCATTATTATAAATTTTTTAAACATTGTTCTCACTATAGGGTATCATTATCATGAGTTTTAGGGACGATTAACATACATAAATTTCAGGTAGACAAATACGCCGAGGCGAAACAATCATCTGTGGGCCACACAAATAGTTGTCCTGTGTGGAAATCGAGCCCATGACCGCCGCTGGAGGCGAAGTACCTTACCTTAGCAACTACGCCACGGAGTCATCAATTCTAATTTTACATATATAATTTTTGTGTTAATTATTCAACCTTATTTAGACCGATGATACTTTTACTTACGCATGCTATCTATTATGAAAAAAGTTGTTTTTTTATGTGAAAAGTTGCCAAGCGAGCAGGTAGTTCACCTGATGTTAAGTGAATACCACCGCCCATGGACATCTGCTACACCCAAGGGTTAGCAGATGCATTGACAACCTTTTGAAAATTGGGCTCCGGCTACCTCACTCAAAAGACGAAACGCGAAAGTATTTGTCATAATTCCACTAACACACACAAAGCGAATTGCATAACACTCGGCTATCGTGAGCGACGCTAATCTTATACGTTGTTATGCAAATCAGCGCAATCGCAAGCCAGACTCAAATCGCACTCCTAATTGTTGATGAGTCGATAGCGAAAACAAAGTACGCCCGAGCGATTCGCGTTTGTTTATTTAGGAAGACATTTGCTGACTTGTCCGAACAAACAAATTATATTTGTTAAATTTATACGCAAACAGTTGATTTGATTGTGACCACGTTTGACCATTAGTAGAATCAATGGTGTCGCAGGTGCGTTGCCAACTGGACTTCCGGTTACTTCACAAGTCGCGCTAAACGAAAGTATGAATGTCTAACGCCCGGTTAGTGAATCACTGACCATCGTAGAAGTAAACTATTCAGCTGTCAAATGGCTTTTCAAATGTCATTCGAGTTGCCAAAAGGACGGTATAAACTCCAATCGTTAAGAAGATCATTCTGATCAATTCAGAGAGTTTGACCATCCCTTTGGCAATTATTAAATGACATTCGAGAAGCCATTTGACAGCAGATTAGTAAACTCCTACGATGATCAGTGTTTCAGAAGCCGGGCGTAAGTTTACGAAGGCTTCTGCGGCTACTTTTGCGTGTATATACGGTGGCAGACTGCATGGCTCTGTCGCGGTGACACTGAAAACTTTCATGTTACGATTACAGCTTACGCGGACTACCACGCGGTTTCCGGTTACGAGCGAGGGTAATTCGATGCGTCGCCCACCGGCTGCAGCTTTGGATCGATGTCGATCACGTGCCCCCGCGGAGTTTCGCAACGGCCACTGCCAATCGACAATGTCACGTGGCCTGTTACGCAACAAGCCACCCGACTCCTTTATTTTGAGACGCGGCAATTTCAAACGGGCCGAATGTTCACCCGACGTTAAGTGATAACCGCCGCCCATTGACATTTGTATCAGCCGTAGGGTTGTAAATGCGTTGCGACCTTTTAATAAAGTTGGCCCGGTTTACCTCACGCAGAAGTATAACACTTCTATTTCACGCTGGTCTTCTGTTAGTTCGTGGTACTTAATTGATATATACGCGCTACTTTTAGAGTCTAGTGCTGGTAGTAACGTGGGAAATTATATTTATATTAATAAGGATTCTCTGTTGCACTCACGGCTTAACCAGGTCAGACAATCAAATAAAAACCCATTTAAAATTTTGGAATCATTACTTAACATAAGGTATACTAGAGCAAAAGTAGGTTTAATGTAATTATCTAATGAACTCATCGTCCAAGTTTAATTTTCTTTTTTTTTTTAAACACGGCCCTTACTTTAGGATAACACTATCCTGTGTTGCAAGGACGTTTTACATACATAAATTTCACGTGGACAAACAGCCAGATGCGAAACAACTATCTGTGGGTCGCACAAATAGTTGTCCCGTGTGGAATCGAACCCACGACCCCCGACGCCGAGGCCAATACCTTGGCGACTGCGCCACGGAGTCATCTAAATTCGTAATCAGTTGTAGTTAAGTGAAATAAAATCAACATATAACCATAAATTTCCATAGCAAGGGCAACGCCTAGTATGAATCATCATCTAGTATGAAAAACAAGACTCAGATGTAATTTTAAACGTATTCTAATGCAACACCACGATACGCTAGATAGGCTCGACAACCGTACCGGTAGTTCTGAACCATTGGAAAAGAAAGCGAGTCTGGAGAAAGTCATCGGTGACTATTTGCTGTGGCGCCCTCTAGTTATCTTATCTTTACATTAGATCGTGTAACTTCGGAACGAGTCGACCGATTGAGGTTAAATGAACGCGCTATGTTTGCGTTGTCGATAGGTTGATTTATAGCTGTGCTAGCTGTGAACGAGTTTACATTTTAGGGGATAGTTATGACGGTAATTGTTAAACAGCGTATTGGTTTACTGCAGTTTAGACAAAACTTTCTACACTTTCAATTAATTATAGCAACAACACTATATAAAAACAACCGTTGATGTTCAACTCTTTTGCCATATCACATTAAACATTTAACTATGTGAAAAGTGGTCAAGCTAGCAGGAAGGTCACCTGATGTTTAAACTGCCGCCCATGGGCATCTACAAGACCCCATGGCTTCTAATGCGTTAGAACCTTTATAAAAAGTGGGCCAGAAGAAACGCTAATTACTCGATTTTTTTTTATTCTTTTACTAACAGTGAAATTCCGTTACATGCGTACAATGAGAAAAAGAGCCGTGATAGCTCAGTCATACACGCTCGCTTTCACATTAATATACTGGAACAATCCGAGCTCAAAACCCGATACCAGCACATTGGCATAAGGCAGCACTTATAACTTTGTTTATAGTTAAACTACAAGTTCGAACGACAAATGGCAAAAATCCGCTCAACGCTACCCGCAAACCGTAAACCAGTCACGACGGCGGCGCAATAAAAATTAACCATGGCACGTTGAACGGTTTAACCGGCAAGTTGAACCTTTCGTATGTAGGCCGCTCCCTCGACATTTAACAAAGGTTACTTTGAACTTTTAGTTTTACGCAAAGCGGCCGCGCTCCCCGCGGAAATCGGCCCGGCTTCGAAGCCCCGACAGGTCGTAAATCAGCCGGTGCGCGTACGGACAATTTCCACTACATCGCTCGTGGGTGAGATGAGCGCGTTCCGCTGACTTAAAATACTCCAACTTAACGGTGACTTAAGTGAAACATAGTCCAATCACATTCAGACCATGCCTCGCTAGCATATAGACTTGTGTTAAAATAGTTATTAGTCTTTCCTTTAGTAAAGAGATAAACGTCAATGACGATTTTTCCCTAACATTTCCATAAAATTCATGTATTCA